AAGATTGCCAATATCGGTTTTGCAATACCCGCTTATTTAATACAACTGCTCTGATAACGAATTTGCCTATATGCAGATGAATTCTGCTGCTGCTCAGATCGTTTCCCAAGCGATGTTTATGCATATTGATAACATCTATGAACCATGTCCCCAAAGCTGAGCTGCATATTTTGAGCGTAGTTACAGTGTTTTATTGGATCACAGTGTTCACAACATACATTGTGAGTTCACTCCAACACTGTAATTCCAAGCTAAAAATGCAACTATTTACTCCAAGGTCATCTAAAACACAGATACGCTCTAAATGAGAGAAGAAACTTCGAAATTGCAGGGAAGTTTGTGCGTGTAACTTTTCCGTACTCTTTGTTGTTCCGTTATCAGTAACACAAAGTCAAAGTCCATTCGTTAGTAATACAAAGTTCATTTGTTCCTTTTTCTGCTCAGCCTGTTCAACGTTGCCAGTAGTGCTCGTTACATACAATACATGTTGCGAAAGCTCTTGCGAACACCGAGCCGGTCCTATAGGCGTTGGTTATCATGTTTCATGCCAATCACCAACAGCATGACCGCTTTCGCTTTCCCCGAGATTGGCACCATTACGCCCTCCTAGGAGTTTCGCGCCGCAGCCACTTGTGGCGGCGCAGACAACTGACGGTTCTGTTTCTCATCTCCTGTATTATCAGTAGCGCATTTAGAGCGAATTCGCTGGACGAACAAATTTCCAAATACATATTTTTTTACAAGTATTTTCTATAACTGGCATTGAAAATACATATTTTGCATGTATTAACGAAAGCGTTTTACCAATCTGCTATGCATTACTAAATTCATCCACGAATTATACAGATTTTAACTAGGTACGTTATGCACCTTCATCTTGCACTGCTCCTTAAGTTATTGTGTCAGACCCTAAGTTAGCTTTAGTAATCCAGGTGCATGCCAAGGTTTCCGGCACAATCAAACTTGAAACAAACAGATCGTGAGCAGTATGAGTGGCTGCTGCTTTGCAGTTCGAAATGTACGCTAATGTTGGCAGTGTTTTGGCCATTTCCTGCATGCAAGGGAAAAGGGCGTTAAGTGAAACCGCAACGCCGCATCATGAGACCACATGAAATTTTGACCTTCATGATTACGACAAATTTTGCATGAAAGGAAATGAAAATTAGGTGTTATCGTCGTTTGCTAAAATTCAAATTGGGCATGAGCAGGATGTGGAGGGGGAAGGATTACAAAATTTCATGAAACTCCTACGTGTTCATATGTAACTCCAGGCCGTCACTTACCGGGTTGATGGATGCGGTAGTGCTTTTTCGTGCTTAACTTGCAACAGTCAGATGGCTAAAAGTATTTCCTGTGTTACAGTCTGTGTTTTTGGCGTTTTCTTAAATGCAGTGGGAAAAAGTGCTGGTTAGCGTGATGGTATTGTTGCATCGTGGGATAGGGGCCTTTCATACTTCTTTTGTATTCTTCTGTATCTATTAAAATATTCAAATTAAGGCGCATCAAATGCTCTAAATGCAGTACTGATAGAGAAGACCTCTCCGCAGGATGGAGTCATGTAAAAACGCATATTAGTACTGGCAAGCTTGGCGCATGCCAACTGGGTTGATTTGCTCATGCACTAACTGTCTCCGTACGCAATTACACCAGCGTGACGGCTTAGCGGAGTTTTCGGCTATGACAAAAGCATGCGAGTTGTGCAATATTTACACCTCTGTTTTCTTCCTCCAAAATTACACAGGAATAAAAAGTCGGAAATTTGCACATGTTTTTTATGTTTGTCTAATCCACAAGTGAGCAACCTGCGGCCCATGTCCGGCCCACGATTTGTCCTCCGCCACTCCTCACCGCTTTCATGCAAATTAATAACTAGTATACGCATGAGGCTGATAGACGACAGTATGAAAATGTTTTGACCCTGTATCAGTGACATAAATCCAGATTTCAACAATCTTTTATCAAAAGTTCAAGCCCAGAGCTCACACTAACCTGCTGTTGATTACTTTTTATGCGTTTTTTGCAGCTATGCAATGCAAAAAACACATATTGACGAGAGGTTGTGTGTGTGTCTGTGTGCGCAGGGGCTCTGTGTCGATTTTTCATCTCGACACCTACAAAAGCTACAGGGCTGAAACTTTGGGGACTTAATCTACCTGCATGTACGGGCCCCCATCCTCAAAATGGGCGGTCTTTCTCGCGTGGTACTCACGTAAGAACCCGCCAAAGTTTTTTACGAGTAAGCTGCTAACTCGCGAACCAGAAAAGCTAGAGAGCTGAAATTTATGAGAATGTCCCCCGCCCAAGTGGGTACTAATGAGCCCAAACCCAACCCACGGGTAAGCGTGGTACCCGCGTACGGACCCGCCAAAAATTTTTTCGCGTAAATTCATAACTCGGGTTTCTGAGATGCGAGAAAGTTGAAATTTTAAGGGAATGTTCCCCATCCAAGTAGGTGCTAATGAGCTCAGACCCAACCCCCGGGTAAACGTGGTACCCGCGTACGGGCCCGCCAAAGTCTTTCCCGGGCAAGTCCATAACTCGTGGATCTGAGATGCTAGAAGACTGTAACATTAAGAGGGTGTTTCTCGTCCACATTGGTCTCAAAGAGATCAAACCCAGTCCTCGGTCATGCGTACCTTCGCTCGGGTTCACCAAAGTTTTTCTCGGGTAATCTCATAACTCGAGAACCTGTAAAGCTAAAAGATTGTAGTTTTAGGAAGACGTTCCCCGTCCAAGTAAGTCTCAACGAGCTCAAACCCAGACATCGGGTATG